AACTCTTGATCCACATCTTCTGTTACTCTTGTGTTATAGGCTAATTATTAGGCTTATAATACTTTCCCAGACCTTTCCTAGACCAAGGAGAGACCAGGTAACAAATTAACGAAGAAAATTGTATAACGAGGAGCTTCATAACACTATTTGAACTTTTCCTTTAGCTTTTACGATTAAGTCCTATGGCCTGCCCCAATTATTAACATCCGAAACTATGAATTGTTACAGACCTTTCGTGGATCGTCCTTTTACAAAGATAAATGATAGCATAACACAGCAAAACGCATACATCCATGTCTCACGGAGGAGTCGAACCCACGAAATGTTGAGAGATAGCTGAACACTGTTCTTATATTGATTTTCTTAAACACGAAATAAATTCAGATCAGAAAGGTCAGAGCTTCTAAGCAAGATATGTCGTAGGTAGGATGTAAAGGGATAATTGTGGTGTTCTCGTCTTTAACTTTCAGGATAAGATGATTATATTCAAGTTACTAAAGCACACACTCAGAATCGATAAAGCAAGTGAACTTTACTATCGGTAGCATTCCGAGCGACTGACTGCATCCTCGTGGCATATCTGACAGGTATTCAATGTGAACTGTGACGAGGAGATGGATATTTTAAACGTATATAACGAGAATGTCGAGTGAACAGGGACCATAGGAATGCCTCAGCCCGATTTCTTCTGTTTTATCTGTTATGATGTTTTACGACTAAGACAGCAACCTATCTTACTCTGTTATCTTCTCATGGATATTTCATATACCTCCTCAAGGAATAATGCTGTACGGGAGAGGATTCACAGTAGGCCAAATTAATTTCCACGTGATTAAACTGATTATCAGAAGCAAAGCTTTGACAACCAAAATCACCTCTGCTGTGCAGGCCACGCCTCGGACCAGAAATAGGTTACATTATCTTAGACTTAGGAGAAATTATTAAGTTTAGATTTTGATTTAATATATGCACGTTAAATGGATTGTAAGCTCATTAAACAGTCTACATTTAATAATGTATATGTTATTAACACAAATAAATAAAATACATTATCCGCATAGATTATACGTGCAGTTCTCTGTCTATATAAACGTACAAAGTCTAAGATCTATATCAAGCTGTAACAGACTGATGGCTTGAATAACAGTCACGCATTATATTTCGGAAGTTTCGAACAGTTTCTTGGTTAATCTGTAAATGGGCCAGAGAATATTCCGTTATTCGTTCACTTAATTTTAGCAACAAATGCACTCACATTATTTTCTTGAAAATTAATCTGCAATTACGAGGCCAACGTTAATAGACCTCATGTTCACAGGGCTTTATGACTGGGCTTGACCTTAGAAATAAGCTCCTGAAGTACAAATTAGAACGTCTCGAAAGTTAGATTATACTTTTGTTATCAGGTGAAAATTGAAGGCGAGCAAAAAGTCTGTCTGTTGGGCGCTCTGGTATAGCTGGCCTCAGCCATAGCTTAATATTTCACCCGAATGCAGAGTTTTTAATAGCATAATGAAAATTCGAATTACGTAAAAACTGAATGCCTTATCCAGATGAATATATACCAACTGCCTGAGAAAATACTGTTACTTACCGAAGAACATTACATTCACTGTGGAAGACCACGGAATTATTAAATAACAAACTCCAGGGTATAGGATTTTCTGTAAAGTTACTAGCACCGGAGAATATGACCCAGAGTTATCTTACTAACCTGACTCTCCCAACATAATTTTGTGTGCATTGCCTGTCTCCCTCAAACCCATTTCCAACTAATGTCCAGCTCATTGTAACATTACAGATTTCACTAAGTCGCCTATATAACTTACAAAGTCATTTCTAGTTATGACTAGACACACAAAGAACTTTGCACTTTAGTACAAGGGAAAAAACTTCAATGAATTGTTCAGAAATGGTAAAGAGAGGTATTCTGACATCTCACCCTAACTCTTTAATAAGCACACGTTTATAATCTATCTCATTAAGTATGGGTCATCTAAGTTTTCCACGAATACATATAAAGTTAATAGCTAAATGGAACGCAATGTAAATGCTTCGATATCATTCAGAAATGGGTGTGGCTGGATAACGAGGTTTTATAGTATGTTTCCCGTTCGCTTGTCCAACACCATCTTCACTGTACAGAGTGATACAAAGCCCTAATACAATATTTAGGATGCTCCAGATGATCTGCCCAACCACCCCTTTTTTAACTATAGTAATACTGCTTTGAATCATCCTGTATATAGGTCTATCCCCATTTTCATTTACAAGTTACAATTGGAAAACACCGAATAATACAAAAATCTTATACTTCGAAACTCTGGCATGTGTCTCGCCAACATCAGTTGTATTTAACACTTTCCTGTTGTTCAGCTGCTCGATATCAGTCCATTGTATGAGGTTTCTTTGAATTCGTATAGTTTGCTACCTGCTTTCCGAAGACGACGATGTTTATGAATAACTCAGGAGAAGTGTGTTTTGAGATGGGTTACTACTCCCGATTTGCCTTAGTGCAGTGAGAAGACTCTCAAGAAACATCATTCGAATTAATGCTCGATTCCAAGTTTTTCGATACTAGGGCATTTCGGTTTGAAAATCGGGTTCACTGTTGACTGGAAGTGGGATGATAAAATTAAAATGGTTGTCAGAACAACATAATGTGAACTGGATTCGACTGTCTCAGAATATGGTCCGTGTCAGAACAACATAATGTGGATTGGATTCGACTGTCTCAGAATATGGTCCAACGGTAGATCTTTTAACATTGTAATGAACCTGACATCAAATTTAATCGAAATCCATCGAGCTTTTCGGAAGAAAAACTTGCTTAAAAAAGTGCAGACAACCGGCCTGATATATTCTCTCAATTAAGAGGTGATTTATAAACCTCGGGTAAAGAGAGCATAATTATAACTTACCGCAATGTTATTTCAATCTGCCGGAACCGGGGTTAACTGTTCAAGAGTAAATCCATCCTTCAGCCCAAATTAATAATTTTCCTCTCTACACAGGCTATTTCGATCCATAATGATCTGCTGCCAACCACAACAATACGCGTGCTTCAACAATGTATATATTTGGACCCTCACACGGAAGGATTAAATAATTCACAAGCTAATTTGTGGTGCGAATCTGCAAGAACATATGATTCGCAAATTTAAAGCCATCAGGTGCTTTTGATACTATGGCGCAGTAATAGGCTATATGGCGCTTATAACTAAACTTCATCCACATAAGAAGTTTAATATTTTGTTAATTCATTGATTCTTAACGTCAGTGTACCAACCGAAGAAGATACTTAGCTACGAATAAGATGAGATGGCGAATAGCAGAATAGGAGTAAATGGAGAAGAAGATTCTGTTGCTACTTTCAAGTATTTGTTTTGTAATAGACTTACAAAGGAAGATAAAAGTTCAGAATATCTTATTCTTTCCTCATTCCTTTCGTTCCAATTCCTTCTTTATTTCCATTATTCCTTTTCTATCTGATTCTTTTTCATTTGTAGAATTTTATGTATTGCTTCTGTATCCAAATGATGTCCCTCTTTTCTGTTTTACAATCTTTCTTGGTTCTCTCATTCAGCAGACAGCCATAAACACGATAAAATACACATTTTATAGTAATTCTGACATTGGTAATTCAATATTACATAACACGAATATATTTTATAGTGTAATTAAACATCCTTTTCATGGTGCACTGATGATATGAGGAATCAGACTAAGAAACTTTATATTGTGGTTGCCACTGCATCACGAGATAGCATAATAAACTACTTTTAACCGACGTTCGATACTCGCCCGCTGGCGATAACAGCGTTCTGGGAAGCTGAACAGGCCGACAGTCCTCAGCATTATAATGGTAGTGATGGCGAGGTGCCGAAATTCAACATCACGAATGTGATTGCACCGGTACCAGAAACCTCGAAACCATGTTGCATGACATTTATAGAAAGTTGTTATGGCCTGCATAAAACAAAACACGCGTTATGTGTAAATTATGTTAGATTTGAAGCTTTCACAGCGACTGAATGCAATGTCTTCTCAAGCTATCAGTCGTGTGAGAATGATATCCATGGCTTCGAAGCCTGTTTCTGTTTCCTTCATTAAGGAGAAGAGGCCTTCTTGGGAAGCTGATAATGTCTCAGTTGGTCTATAAATAACTGCCGAATGTTCATTACGGTGTCCACAGAGCCGGCCACTAGACGTAACCTGAGGCAGCTTAAGCCAACCTACACTTTAACACCTTAATTTTTAAAATCCCTTACTTAACCTCAATGATTCTTCTCTGAAAGGTTTCCAACTAAAATTTTATACACCCAATCTACAATCTACGTGATACAAGTACCACTCGGTAAAATGAGTTTTGTACATTTAAATCTTCAGCTTTGTCGATGGTAAATGGTAAAATAAAGAAAGACTGAATTTAATGGTATCAAAAGATCTCTGAAATTAATTTTATTTAACTTCTTCAAGAATACAATTTTGTTACTATAATTCCCAATATTTAAACTTTTTCACATTTGCGAAGTTTCAACTGGCTATCTTTACATCATGGTAATGCTATGTTGTAAAATAACGCAATAAAATCTTACGAGGCTCAAGGAGAGTAAGCTACATTTTTACGACAAAGTTTCGGGAACTCGAAGTCACAAAGGTTCCCTGTGTAATTATTATAAAATATGATGCAAAGCTTGTTCATAAGGAAGAGCATTAATCTTCTATAAAATCCGTGTCAGATCACGTCGTTCGATAGTCCTAGTATAAAGCTATGATGGCTTAGCGCAAGAATTGCTCTAGGCATAATTACATTTTATCGGTTTCTGATAAATTAATTTCCCATGTTCCTAGATCAGAAAAGATTGCGAATGACCGATTTACGGTACAAAGTCCCCATAATCATCCTGTCATTTCTTATTCGAAACTATGAAAACAATTCAATGCCATTAAATAAATCAGGAAACTAACATCAGATGAAAACGTTACTGTCGTTGCAGGCATGACAAAGCAGCGGGGACGCCCCGGTCACGTGGCCAATGTGGACCCCCATCATGGCAGCGCAACAAGGTGACCCATTCAAAACTCAACGTCATTACACAGCTCTCTATCACAATCAGCAACCAGATGTCTCTTCTGTCGCTACTATCACCACGCATCATCACCAGGTACGGTCAGTCTTCCCACTTTCTTTTCGGACGTCCAAGATCTCTTCAGCCAAACAGACTTGCTGGTTTCGTTGGTTAGTCCATTGATTGTTAAGTTGGTTTGTTTGATTAGATGGCTGGTTAGTTTACCGGTTTATTAGATGTTTCATCGGCTCCTTTGACTGGATTGTTTTGTTAGTTTGTACATCGATAGGCTTGTTGGCTGGTTCTTTGGCTGCTTACGTAGTTGACAAACTGGCTAATCAGTTCCTTTGTTGATCGGCGGTTGGTTAGTTGAATGGCAGACTACAAAGCCTCCGATTTAATCAACGATTTTAAAGCGTTAAGCTTGACCCACTCAAACCAGTTCAAGCACGTGCATGTCTGGTTGCAGCAGGTGCTACCGCAGGTGCTGGGACGCAGCACGGTTGGTACGGAGGTGGCGGCGGTTTGCCGTCGAGGCCTATCGCCGCCCTCGCTACATAGCGGTGATAGTCACATGATCCCAGCTGCTGTCAAGTCGACCGAACAGGCATCTTCACACAAGGTAACCCATCTTAAATACCTCTGAATTTTTTGGTATCTTCCACGTTGTAACTATCTCCACAATCGACTTATAGGATATACTAAATTTCCCTGCAAAAAGACTCACGGTCTCCAAAAGAAACAGTAATAACGTCTTAACTGCAACTTAGTTTTAGTACAAGAAACTGAGAAGAATACTCGGATATAAGAAGTTACAAGAAGGGGCGAAGCGTTTTAGAAAGATGGAATAAAATGCACAAAAGGAGTTTAATGATTTTTACTGTTCAACAAATAATATATCACATCAAGGATAACTATATGGTCGGAACACGTAGCAGGCATGGGAAGATAAGAAATGGGTATACAATCTTGGTTTAAAAATATGAAGAAGAGGGAACACTCGGAAGACATAGAATCAAATGGAAGAATAATATTATAATGAATCTTAAGGAAAATGGGATGAGTGTTGTTCAGAAAGGTTTCAAAATTCTGAACGCCGCTAAAAATCACTAATAAATGTCCTATAATACTAAAATACTGTAAAAATACTTTGATATTGTACTAATTCTGTAATTGCCTGTTGTTATGTAAGAAATGTAACCATCGAATGAACTGTGCTCAACAGAATCCCCTCGGCTGGCGGCCAATAGGTGGACAGTATTTCATCAGTAGCTGATTGGCATGCGTTGCGTCCACTCCAGCGTAACATGAATGAAATAAAGTATGATGTTTCGTTCTTGTAGAGTTACAGAGGAGTATGTCAAGGTTTCTTGACCGTGTAACATTGAATGAAGCTAGCTCAAAGTTTGCTGTAATAGTCTACAAGATCGAGATGATGTTTTAGCAGGGCGGCCCTCAATGGCAATACCTTTAGACGGAGTTTCATCAATATTTGCGAATAACCAATTAGTGTGGGACACACTGACAGAAGCAGAGCAGGTCCTCCGTTATTAGATAATACAGAAAGTAATGTAAAATGTGGAAACTCTGAACAGACTAGAAACTAAAACTACACGGATGAGCCGTTTTACCACCAAGGCGATGAAGTGTCCATGATGGCGGCACGCATCGTTTACCACGAACAGCTGAATATAGTCGACAATAATAATTAAGTCACCATATTCGTCCAACACGTCTCTTCAATAATCCATCAAGCCACCCTGTCACGTCACCGGAAACAGCGCTCCTGAGAAAGTCTGATCAAGCTCCATTAACTTTAACTTAAGGCACCTAATCAGTTGCCCAATCCACGTAGGAGGTAACCCTAGCCCTGCCTTAACATTACGTCGATCAGCAAAGGCCCGACAGTCATTATCCATTGATCTTAGTAGCTGGAAGTTGCAAAGTGACGCTCTACCAATTGTGGATTACAATGAATGTGAATCTAACATTAAATTTCTCTTAATAATTGCTGAAGATTCTCTTCAAATAATCCTGGCGCCCACTGTTCTGGACGTCTCTTCTGGAGAAACTCCGGTGAGGTATTTTCTATAATTTGCTGTATGGGTTTGAGGTATTTTATTCAAATAACTTCAGAGATTTCAAATAAGACAAGAAGCAAATTGTAAACTGACATGAACAAAGAACATTGGCTGCTATATTTTATTTGATAAGGCTACTGGTGAAGAATTATGTATAAGTACCATTCTCTCATAGCATTTAGCGTGAGTGAGAAAGCATTAGACGTAATGAGTTAATTTTGGTAATGACTGAATTTTTTTGAAATGTCAATTCTTATTAGGCTTCCATTTTGGATAACAAATGGCCCAAATTCCAAGGTTGCTATAATTTATGTTTCGTTTAGACGTCTCTCCTGCAAATGAAATGCCCACAAGCAGTCACAGCTTAATAAAAAGCCTATTATGTTTGTGATTGGCGAAATGGTTGAACTCTAGCGAAGATGGATTGTACATTTATAAACATAAAGCTTTTATTAGTTTCATAATGTGCATGAGAAATGCATAACAATTTCAGCCGGAAAAACTGAAGGCAAGAAGAGACCACTTGTGAACCTTAGAAGTATATGGGAGGATGATATTAAAATGGATCTTAGATAAATATGGTGTGATGTGTGAATTGGATTCAAATGATTAAGGATAGAGCCTGTGAAAACGACACTGAATCTTGTGATTGTATAAAAGGCTGGAAATTTCTTAAACGGTACAGGCCCAACACTTTAATCCGTTGGTTCCCGTAGGAAGGTCCTGGAGCGACCGCCGCAGTATTTGCAGGTGGACACGCGATGACTCAAATACCATCCGCAGAACTTCACTCGGTCACCACTAGACTGCGTCGCCGTTTGAGAAGAGCCACCTCATCACTTCGGGTGAGTGCAATTGCAGTTTAAAATATAATTCAATGAAACCTGTCTATAGATTTTATCGCTTGAATACAGATGCATAACTACTGTTGCACACATACGATGACGAAAAACAAAGTATTTTTACTTCTTATTTCTTAAATATATACCTAACATAAAATAATGTTTGTAACAAAACTTGTAGATTTTAATAACATTTTGTCATGCACCAATGTTTTTGAGGCATAATCCGCGTTTGGGAAACCGATAAAGCCAGATATGAATTTCATGTAACGTATGGTTTATGGGGACAAATTTGCACCTATGATTAATCATCAAACCATTAAGACGTAGGCTACAGACATTCTTAAGCTGGACACTAGATGGAAGTAAATGGCCAGCTTCGGCCTCCTCTTTGCTCCCAAGGAATACCTTCGGTACCTAACGAATAATAAACTGGGTGGGCCCCTGAGCCGCTTTGGACATGGTCCAGAAGAGAAAAATCCTTGCACCTGCCAGAAGTTAAATCCCGGTCGTCCAGCCTTTACCCAGTCACCTTAATGGCTCAAATGAAAATTAAATTCGCTCGACGACCTTTTTTAAAAACTAGTGACAAATTTATTTAAGATTAAACACGGGTGTTTCCGTATTATGCGTTCAAATTAATAACTTTGTTTGAACGGAAATATTCTTAAGATAACGCCGATGTTTCTCTTCTGATCCGTGACGCTGTGTGAATTCGTAGGCCATTACCAATGTTTCGGAGAAACATATTGTCTCCATCTTCATACTTTGAAGCTGAATGGAACAATGGTATCTACCTGTGAGTTCACAGGATGTCACAAACCAGAAGAACAACATCTACATCTTTACTTCCGTAAGAGTCTCAAATCTAACATCTTGACATTAGTAAGCCCAATCAGTTAATAACTTTGCTACTGTTTGCTGACTGCCGCAGAAAAGATGGCGAAGAGTATACAGGAACAGGAGTCACCAGGAACAGAGCAGTCACCAGGAAGCAGGCACGAAGGCACGCGCCCCGGCGACTGACGGGTTCTTGGCCAAGTTCTCGAGTGTCGCTGGGGCGCCCGCAGAATCAGACGCACATGGCAACCAGCAGGACTCGGCTAACTGCTGGCAAAACCGTCTCACCGTAGACCCTACCAAGCCTTTTCACTACAGGGTCAGTACAGACATTTAACTCAGCTTAACATTTCCCACGTCAGCACACTCACAGTATAATTCAATACCTCACGCCACATCATAAATAGCTGTATGTGAGTATGTTTCTCAATGTTTCTTTGTGCATTTAATGCATATGTTATGTATCACTCATTATCACTCATAGAAATATGCAAGAGGTCGTAAAGAATTTACAAATAAGAACCTCAAGGATGAAGACCACTTCAGATCCCAAGGTGACGATGAGTTTAGTTGGTAATGAACGACGAGAATGACAGAAAAATGTAATATGAAAGTAATAATAGTAATTATGAAAAAGCGCAGAATGTAACAGATATAATTGAAACTGTAAAAACAAGAAAGGGCCACACTTTGAGTACAATTGCCACCTGAAATCAAAGTACTTAATTTAAAATATCGGTTCACTGATTGAGAAGCATTACATTAATCACACTGTTCAATTGCACCAAAACAAAATCATTCTGTCAGAACTGTATCGTACTTATTCCTAGTGCCACCAAGCTTTTTCAGCAACGAAATCTTAAAACATAAGGAAGGTCTCCAGTAAGTGTACTGCACTCTTGATTAACAGCAAAGAGGTCTTAGGTTGATTCCAAATTAGGAGGTCTACTACTGTGACATGATTCTCATTGTCTCTCCAGTCCCTCCGCACGAGTATTGAGATACGCCCTTAAAATACGCCACGACTTTGCTCTCCAATACCCTTACCAATTATTCGCAGCCATTCTTCAATTCAACCTATATTGCCTATGCAGTTAGTCATCAAATAGGTTATCGTAAGACGTAAATAATACCACTAAGATTAAGGCTGACCTTTGGAAATTATATACTACGCCAGTTCGATTTAATTAACATTAGTAAATATTCAGATGTTAAACTAATCTGTCTAGCCAGTGATAATAATCTGGTTCCTCGTGAGTACATACAACCCTCAAAAGTGTCTGCGCGCCATTCTTTATAACATGAAATTTAGTAATAAAGATCACTTGCAGTTAGTAACTAGCCTCAGAAGTTTTCACAATCGTATAAGGAATTATTTCAGTCTTGTAGTAACTAGTTTTTTGTGTAACTTGCAGTGGCTAATGGTGGTCTCTGCAGCCGTATTGTACAACTTCCTGTTCGTGATAGGACGTGCCGTATTCTGGGAGCTCAATAATGCAGCTCCTGCCCTCTGGTGGACACTCGACTATACCTGCGACATCATCTACCTCCTCGATACTCTAATTCACGCTCACGAAGGTGAGATAAATGTTAAAAGACAATGTTTAATTTTCGCATGCTTACAGTATAGCCGGTCAATAAGAATGAAGCTCGGAGAACGGGGAGGACAGTACTGAAAGCATATCCTATGTAGGATATACCTTCAGTTTAATTTGTGTGTTCTAAAAGCATGCAGGATTGTTGTATTTATGTCTAATAACTTTAGAATTCTTAACCCAATATGCATTAAAATCCGAATGAAGGATTTGCTACCGTGAAACCATTTAGATAAAATGGATAAAGGCAGGTGACCGAAAACAACATGGAATTTTAAATCAACAGAGCGATGAATAAGAGGAAGACCAAGGAGACACTGAAGAGACTATTTCAAGAACAATACATTAAGTCTTATAATCCGTGAAGACAGGAAGTATAAGCTATATGAAGGCCACATCGATGCAATTTTTCTCAGTATACCCTCTCAAGAAGAGGGAAGTGGTAGCTGCTAGAACAGAATGCAGGAATAACAACACTGCTTCCAACATAAAACAATAACTCCTTTTGAAATATAATTTTTATACAGTATCTTAAAAATGCATCATTAAGGCGATCGCACACATACATTCTTTAGTCTAGAAATTACAACTGGAAAACAGCTGCATGTAAAATATGGTTTTGTGAAATACTACACTTATATCAGATCAATACGCCCCTTACTAAATAAATGTTTCGGTTTGCGTATATCCTGCTAAGGACCCACAGATTCATATAATCATGTCTAACCTGTCATATGCTCAGGTATCAATCTAGATACACAATGAAACATTTCCATGACACTAAGGATTTCGCAGAATTGCACTGACGTGGTTGAACACGTGTAGTCTATATGACCACAGTACAGTCTATGCAGTAGTGTCACTTTGAAATATGATATGTTAGTTACGTACCACGTAGGCGGAATAATTGATTCAGTGATAGGAAAATTCCATGCATACGTAATTCAGCCGTGGACAACAAAGAGAAAATCACGAACTGAAAAATAAGGGTACAGAATCGGCTCAAACAGGGTTGCCAAATAAACCTGAAGGACCATGACGTGTTACCCCAAATTGATGATTAAATTTTCTTCATTAATTTGTCCACTGGGTGACAAACATATGTTGAAACAGATATACACAGAACATTTCTGTCTGTCTGTCTCTGACACCACATCATATAAAGTCAAAACAGTTGAAATTATGTCGTATCAGAGAGGAACAAGAATTGTAGGATTGTGTTCATATAACTGAGTGATGTATTACATATGGTTATAAACTACAGCGATACGCTTTCATCAATTTACTTCAAATTCCGTTTAAAAGAGGTCTCGGGTCAGAGACCACGTGACCTGGCAGAAAATTATCACTACTTGTAACGAATATAAAGTTGCTTGTTACTAGTTCATTCAACTCACTATTAGATCCAACGTTTATAACGGAACAGCGGAAAACAGAACACATAAGCATGACAAATAGCTGAGATATAAGCTGTTCGGATAATAAATCGATTTTAAATAATACACTGAACTGAACATGTTGGTTTGCCGTCTGGGCATCGAAGTACGCCATGCGGCCTAGAAATGCGATCTGTATATAAACATCCAGCCAGTCACCAAAATGTTAATCCCCGCGAATGATTTCAGCTAAGAAAGTCACCAACACTGCTAATAAGTACCACTGAAGAACTGAATTTTATTGTATTTTGTATGTGCAATAGTTCATCACAGTCTTCACTTGAACTCAGGCAGTATACACAGTACAACTTTGTTCAGGTACTCCACCGCTGAGTACACTTTCCTGTCGACATCTTGGGTAAAAATAGAAGCGACGGAAACATGTTGCGAAGGTGACAGACAGCAACACTGCTGTTTGAAAGGTCGTCCTTTCGTGTCGTCTTTTTATGACGTACTAGTGATTAAACACACAAATATATCCCCATTTTGCTTTGTTATGATTGCACTTCAACACTCTAACGACGTCACTCTGGCTGCCAACAAAGGCACAGGGACAAATAACGGGAAACAGATACAATACGGGACTCATTAATGATGTAACACTCAAATAAGGCCACTTGTTACTGTGTTTCTGTGACCATTCAACACTGGTCTTTACATGTGAAACAAAACAGAAACACTCGCTCTTTTTACGATAAATTCACGTCTTGGGTTTTGATATTTTTCTGATAGATATGAACATCCTTCTCGGTTGATTATAACATAAACTGATACCAAAGAATCTTCAGAATTCGTACTTCCCAAGTTTATATCTCTCAGAATTCACTAACTACTCGTTCACAAAAGTAATATTTTCAATAAAAGACGTCTTTTAATTAAATTAAATTTAATTTTATATAAATAAATACGCAGTAATTATACATGACGGCCTGAGACAATAGTCTAAATGCATAAATAATACAAAAGGAACATAAATATAAAATAAGACGAGGTGCTGCTCGTTTGGACTGACGGCCAATCCCGAAGAACCATGGCGTTTTCCCTTAAATTGTTAACTGGCTGCCTTTTCTTGTGAAATTTGGTATGGATGTGTTCTAAACCTGTCTATCAACGCAAAAAAAATATTAAAGTTCTGGGTAATGATATTTTTAGAAATGTTTGGCTAAATCATTGAAACGGTTTTGCAAAATCAAAATATAAACATAACTGCAGTTTAAAATATCATATGTCAAGTGACCGCAAACACGTCTACCATTTCTGTACGAAGTATTATTCTGAGGGTTGAAAAAACTCATTTGCAGCAGCCAGAAACTTTGAACTTAGTTTGTCAACTTAACACGTGTAAGAAGTATACACTACAGATGATTTTATTTTCTAATTTGTAAGGCCGACTTGGAGCTCTTAATAACACAAGAAAATTTCTTCAATTAGATTAATTACAACAAGTCCGGTTGTGGCTAGATTACGTGGCTATCACAGTCAGTATCCGGTCTCTGCATGTCTGATTTGTGGTGAAAGATTAATGTCTTGGGATGGTTGCTTGTCGTGTCTCCAGATACAGCGTAGAATTTCCGCCATTAATGGGAAGTATTGCATTTGCAAGTCACTGGATCAAATCAGGGCCTGCTATCATATCTAAGATTTACTTTATTTTCCTCAGGTAACTGTCCAGTGTAATAAACCATGACTACTTCTTCTCATACATTCAGTTCATAAATACTTTTCTCTACGGTGGTGGTCTTCCTTAATAAGTAGATCTAGATGATTATTCAACTTGTAAACAAATTGCCTTTTCTGTGTAATCCGAAAGTTGATTACTGAAGCCAGAAAATCTAGCACTCAGTTCAAATCCTGAATCAGCTAAACCCAATCTTATTTTGCCACAACCAACTATATTAAGAAAAGCGATGCTTGCTGCAGTAACATGGGCGGATGTTAATTCCTCTGCTTGACTTCGAAGTACTGTTAGTTCCGCTTTTCAATAGAGGAAATATAACTATCTAAAAGCTCTGAAGTGCAGGACGTAGGCAGCATATGGACTGCAATAAAACTCTGAACTATTCCGCCTTTCTCTAGTTCTATTCGGATATCACACCCACCACCCAATGTTGACTCTTTCTAGAGCTTTAGTGTACAGTCAACTTCATCAAGTCACTGATTTCACAATGTTCCTCGCACTTACATGCCAGAATGATTGCGTTTTAACCTTCTTTCCTTACTTTATTATACAAGATATGCGTATGTTATCACCATGGCTGTGTGAAACCAAATGACGAATGTTCATGAATTCGGTAAGACCGTCATGACACTAGTGGCTACAACTCTGCTCTATTCTAATTCCTTAACATCAGTAATACCAACATGGCCCTACGCATATTTATGAATTTAGAGCCAGTGGCCCTTAATATTTGTGAAATAATAAAAAACTAAGAATATGAAGTTTTGGTTTAGGTGATGTTTTTCAGAGTATATAACAAAAACATGGCGATAAGTAATTATTCAAGGTCTTATGGTAGTTGACTAGATACCTGCTGGAGGAAACATTGAATATTACTATGTAAAATTACGAACATAATTTTTTACATCTGATGTGTCATAAACTTTAGACACATAACTTATAGCCAGAGACCACGGGAGTCAGCCTTTGTGCTTCATTAAAGCGGGAAATTTTTTGACAAATTGAGCAAGTATGAATTTCTGAAGAAGGATTCAGCTCTATGAAGTTAGTTATAGCTACCTTATACAGTGGACGTTGTCAAATATAATTACAGTACTATTGAAATTGAAGTATCCTTAGCTCCTGCAGGAACTGACACTCCCATTCCAAACTACCGCGACGGAATTGTAATTGACCATCAAAGTGACCGCGAGGGTAATAAAACCGGACGCTAAAACAACACGAGAAATGGAGTCGAATACTCGAGGGTGTTGTTATATTTCACAGCCTGCCATTAATTTCATATTCAGCCTCAATTCTGCTGTGGCTTAAGACCGCAACTTTGTTCGAAATTCGCCACAAATAATAACCTAGGTTAATTAGCATAACAGTGATAATATTGTCATTACTGAGACAGTGTTTCTGACATCGCCCGGTCAAACGTCTCCTTCAAACATGCCGATTTCTTTTGTAAAATTTTCCACTTCATCTTCTTCTTTCTCTTTGTGTCGCTGATATCGCAAATTAAGTCACATCTGTTCAGCTTCAGAATTATTTCTCAGACAGATCTGCACCATTACAACATCAATTCCAGCGTATATTATACCTTTCGTCGACCTACGTGTAGATCTGAGGATAACATTAAAATGGGTTTTAAGGAAATAAAATGGGAGGGTGTGGACTGGATTGTTCTGACCTATGATAGGGATCGATGAAAAGCGCTTGCGAAAACGGTAATGAGCCTTCGGGTTCCATAAAATAATTTGTAGACTGGACGAGCGATTATCAGGTTCTCAAGAAAGACTCAGCCTTATAGAATGAGTAAGTTTCGAGTCGTATTACTTAGGAATCTAAGTTATTGACCACATAGGCTATGTACCTGTTAAAGCC